TTTCGCCCAAAGGCCTGAAACCACTGGAAGTGTTGGCAGACGTGAGTAAAGACGTCGACTGTAAACGACTGATTGACAGTACGATCAGTGCATTCAAACGGTTGGATATTTTGGTGAATAACGCGGGAAAATGTCTTCGATGTCCGATCACTGATACGGCTATTCTCGACAAATACAACGATATTATGGACACAAACCTGCGTTCAGTCGTCTATTTAACACATCTATCGGTCGAAATAATGGAGAAATCTAAAGGCAATATAATTAATATGTCGAGTATTGCGGGCCTTAAAACGGTTAGTGATCTGCGATTAAATTTATATTGCATTAAATCATACTTTAAACTAATTATAAATAATATTTAATTATGGTGTATAAAACAGTTGTCCACAGGATTTCTCTACTCTATGTCAAAGTGTGCACTCGATATGTTCACCAAATGTCTGGCCCTAGAGTTGGGTCCAAAAGGCATTCGCGTTAATGCTATCAAGTATTCAATTATTTGTTGTATTGTTTATTCAATAGTAATAATATACATGTATTGTGTGTAATGTGCAGTCCGGGCACAATCAGGACAAACATGCTTCAGACCCTAGGCTTGACAACAGAGCAATCAGTGGCCCGATATAGTGAAATAGGCGGCAAATACCCGGTTGGACGGGTCGGTGAGCCCATAGACGTCGCGAACGCTGTACTCTTCTTGGCCTCAGACGAGGCCTCGTTTGTGACGGGCATTAACTTTGTGTCCGACGGCGGGGCTCTCAACGCCCCGATGATGTAATTCACTACAAAATATAATGCAATATAAGTTATATAATACAAAATTAATTTTTTGCGAAAAAATATTTCATTGATATGTTTGTAATAAAAACTCTTAAACATTTAATTAATATATTGTATAATAATTTATTTCAAATTCATGAGTGTTTTATATTTTCACATACCAAGTATACCGCAGATAAGCCTCACTCAATAATTTTCATATCATTATATTAGGCATTATATGACTTTATTTATCTACATTCAAAATTTTCAGTTCCAAAATTATTGCCCCAGTAGATCTTATGGAAATGGTTCAAAATTATTTACCCATAAGTTAAATTCATAGCAAATTAACAAAATTAAGAGAAATACTTAAGTTACATTTTCTCATATTACAATGGAGCCCATACGGAGTTACATACGGAACGTTATATACCGTTAAATGCTCATTTTATTAAATGCTCAAATGTTTTGGGCCAAAACTATCGTTAATTTAAAGTATGAGATGTTTAGTGCAATGAAAGTACATGAAAACATATACTAAACATGTACTAAACAATGTATTGTATATTAATTTATTGTTTTAAATAAATTGGCTATAAAGTTTATAGTATAAACTATTTTATTCCAATCAATCATTTAGTTCTAGGGTTGTTACTTTACCGGTAATATTCATTTCAATCTTACATTACAGGTAATATTCGCATTAAATGCCATTATAAGACATTTTAACCATTAAAAGGTGTTTATTTAACTTAATTCCAAGTCAAGAAATACCTTATAATTAATATATGGATTAATCGATAGTTATCACTTGTAATATAATTAAAATCTACAGAATTACTATAAGATTTACAATTAAGTTCGGAATTTTTATCATTTTTGAAGCAAAAATAATAAATAAAAACAATTTTGCTCGTTATTTATTCTTAATAAAGTCATTTTTGTCTCTCATTTATATCAATTTTAATTATAAATCCAGTAATAATTAATTTTAAAATTAAAGTTTTTTAAAATTGTTCAATTATTGACATTTTGGACATGACTAATATCAAAAGTTTTTTATATTTTGACAAGTCACGTGTTTAAATGTTGTAATTTACATGTAAGATTCAGAAAACATGGTAATTTACATGTAAATTACCGTAAATTACCACGGTAAAATTGTAATTTACCGAGTGTCACAACCCTATTTAGTTCGCAAACTTCATATAATATTACACTAATAATGTCCACATCTAAAAATTTTGAAAGTAAAATAGTTTTGATCACCGGTTCAGGCGGTGGTATCGGCGCCCGAATTGCTGTCGAGTTCGCCCGATATGGGGCTCAAGTGGTGATCAATGACCGAAATGCCGACAACTTGTCAGAAGTGGCCAAACAATGTGCGGCCGTTTCGCCCAAAGGTCTGAAACCACTGGAAGTGTTGGCAGACGTGAGTAAAGACGTCGACTGTAAGCGACTGATTGACAGTACGATCAGTTTTGTATAGTATCTCAAGAAATCCCCAAAAACTCAATTTAACACATTGTTTGCTGAGCGCTACTAACGAACCCTTTTAACCATTTATCAAATAGATTTATTGATTTTTTAAAATATATTCAATTTTAATCGTAATTTAACTTAAAATATGAATAATTTTACTGAATAATTCATAAAACATCAATAATTATAAATATTATTATAACATCAACTCTAAAATCTAAATAAACTACCCAAATCTATAATTAAGATGATAAAACTACAATGATAAAACATTTTAATAACTAAATAAACAATCATTTCATGAAGATAAAAAAAAATACATACAAACCTAACAATCTGTTTGCAAACATATTTATTATAGATAACAATCAACGCAAATAAAAGTGCCATCAAATTAACCACAATAATAATTGGCCGAAACAATGACATCCAGTCGGGCGCCCGGCTATCCATCACCGGCTCAGCCATACTGTCATCACTGGTCTGTCGGGGAATCACAATCAATACCAGTGTCAGCAAAGACATGAAGACCAACGATACAACACCACCAGTGCTATCATATAAAAAACATAAATTAACTAGATTGTTTTGTACAACTTATCATGGGCATAGTTACTTGACTAGAGGCTTGGCTTTGCGGCTAATCATATAGAATAGCAGTGTTGTCGGCCATAGGATACTCATGAGGAATAGCCCGATGCCTATACCAAACACCCGAACCATTGTTTGGTTAAATTACCTGATTGTTTATGTATTGGATTTTTATTGTTATATAAGTTTTGTTTTTATAAATCAACCTGGTTTCTATGGTAATGCAACGTGCTTTTTATTGCTATGGCCAAAATTCACTATCGCTCATAATATTTTTATTTTATGCAATTCACAATACGGTATAGACTACTGTATACAGTATAGTATAGTATTTGATTATAATTTGCATTATAAAAATGTTTTCATTTCTATATTTAAAAATTTAATATTTAGAGTCTAAATATATAATCAATCTGATTATGAGCTACATGTTTATTAATCAAACAATGTCATTTACAAAATAATACACAATATTATACAATAATTGTGAAGTATAGCTATTTATTTAGAGTGCTTGAATTGAAGTCATCATAAAATACTAAATTTGATTTATAAAAGTTATGCATTTAATCCTTATTGAATGTTAACAAGACAATTCATTAATTAAAGTATATATTATGTTACATAACTAATACAATCATTTATTAATAATATAGACACTTATAAGGAGGCGTTGAGAATCCCGCCGTCGGACACAAAGTTAATGCCCGTCACAAACGAGGCCTCGTCTGAGGCCAAGAAGAGTACAGCGTTCGCGACGTCTATGGGCTCACCGACCCGTCCGACCGGGTATTTGCCGCCCATTTCACTATATCGAGCCACCGATTGCTCTTTCGTGAAGCCCAGGGTCAGAAGCATGTTTGTCCTGATTGTGCCCGGACTGCACATTACACAAAATATATTATTACTATTAAATAAACAATATAACAAATAATTGCATACTTGATAGCATTAACGCGAATGCCGTTTGGGGCCAACTCTAGGGCCAGACATTTGGTGAACATATCGAGTGCACACTTTGACATACAGTACAGAAACCCTCTGGACAACTGTTTTTGTACAAACATTTTGTACACATAATTAAATATTATTTATAATTAGTCTTAGGTATGACTTAATGCAATAAAAATTCAATTGCAGATCACTAACCGTTTTAAAGCTCGCAATACTCGACATATTAATGATATTGCCTTTAGTTTTCTCCAAGTGTTCGACCGATAGATGTGTTAAATAGACGACTGAACGCAGGNACAGTAATTTCATACATAATTTATTTTCATATGTAAATACTTAACTGCAAAACTTTAAATATAAATATTTAAAATAAAAATAAACGTCAATATTAAAATAATTTACGACCATGTTTGTATTCATTGAAATAAATATAGTACAACACTATTACCCATAATAACAAAACATAACTTTTGATATTAAAGTCATTTACATAAATCCCTGCATAATGTTAATGGTATTGCATTTTCAGCGCTAATACATTAGGATTTAGTGAATATATAAAAACTTCGTTTAAAAAACAACAAAAATTAAATATAAAATATTCATTAATTTCCCCAAAATATATGGAAATCTCGTGAAAATACAATACAATTTTCATGTCGATAATTATGATTAATTATGATTATTATGATTAATGTTTAGTAATTAACCAGGGACAAAGTACTGCCAGTATTTAATTTACTAAATATAACACACTTTTAAATATACAGAATATTTATTTAATAAAAGATTAGTCAGAATTTTTTATTAAACTTTTTATATACAGAATATTCTATATAACAAAAATAAATTCATTAAGTTTATTAATTGACACAAATTTATCATTAATAACAATATTAATCCATATTTAATATTAGGTTTCTGTTGTTTATAACGCAAAAAATATATCAATAATTATTTTTTAGCAACTTTTTGGCACATTTTCTAGGGATGAAAATGATATAAATCTGCTGTCAGTATATAATTAATTACTGATTAATAATGTTTTGATAACAATCCGCTCTCCAATATCTATGGCATTCAGCCATTCATTTAATACCATGTGTTTTCTCCATCCCTATTATTAAGCATTTTTCATATACAGTATATTCATAGCAAACAATATAATCTATAATAAATCTGATACTCGTATAGCAAACAAAAAATATTATTATTAATGAAAAATCAGTGATTTTTTTATTACTAACAAAACATAACTAATACTCGGATTTTTATGGATAATAAATTTGATTCTGGCACGAAATCATTTGATAGATTACCATATTTTTCATTGTTTTTTGGGTACATTTTTTATGTTAAAATATTTTTATTTAATTAAACTCAACGACAATCAAAAGTTTTTGCATTAAATTTCTTTATATTTTCTCTGTATTTGCTTTTAGATTAAATTAAATTAGCATTTAATTCAATATTTAAATTATAAATTCAATTCCCGATTGAATATAGACTTTGTTTTTGTATATTTTTTAGACAAAACATTAAAAACAAAAGATTTTTCCTTTGAATAATTGTCTCAATTGTATTGAAATAGAGAGAGAGAGAGAGAGAGAGAGAGAGAGAGAGAGAGAGAGAGAGAAAGCATATAATTAACTATATTATATAAACTAAATTACCAATAAATATATTTAATAAAATACAATGCATTTCATGATTACATATAAAACACGTTATGTAATACATTGATAACTAAAGTTACATAACAATACATTATATTATTATGATTACTGTTATCAACATTACATTTCAACACAACAAAACATAATATAAATTGATTTTTACATTAAATATAACTTTTTTCTATCGTTTTTATTAACGTTTTCATTCATTCATTCATTCATTCATTCACTGAATGAATGCAAACAAAATAATACAAAGAAAATGATAGAATAAAATGCGACAAAAAAAAGCATAATATGTTAGATATGAATGCATTTCATTAACTCCTGGCGTATATAAGTTACACACATTATTTAACAGTACTATTATTATCACTATGTGTTACATAATATACATTATACTTATAATATTGGTAATATTCATAATGTATTACCGATAGGTATATCTAGTATTAAATTCCGTATATCATTACTATTTTTGTACCGGCAATGCCTACCCATAGCCCACATCCATAGCATTAATAATGTGAATCCGAGAAATGTTTTTGTATATGGATTTTAATTATAGATAAAAACTATAAAAATTTATTTTCATGTCAACAACAATGAGTTGTTATTTGTATTTTGTTTTTTATTTTATTTTCAACTTTTTCTAGTATTTTTTGTTTGTATTTTTTGTATAAGGCATTTAATTTAATGCGATAGTTATATGTTTTTTAATATCATGCTGTATTAAGTCGTTTTGGAGCTAATTAGGCGTATCATGGTCAATTTTTAATATATTATATATAAATATACTTTAATCATAATTATTAACTTTATAACCAATATTAATTATTAAATCTAAACGTTCACCACAATTATTAAAACTTTTAATGTTTAGGACTATTTCAATGATGGTAATTATTATGAACAGCGCAACCATCAGAAAACTTTTAATAATACAGTTTTTAACCATAATTTATACTTATATTTAACGCTAATTATTTGTTTAAGCGATTTTTCAATTGATAAATCAATTTGTGACAAAAACGTGATCAATTATGATCAAAAACCATAATTATTTTGATTGGTGGTTTTAATAAAGTACATATCTAGTAACATTGAGCATTATAAATTATATCTAGACATTAATAAATCAATAGAATAACTATTTTAAATTACAGATCCGATACCGGAGTTAATAATAACAGTATTTGTCATTAAAAACAATACAAAAATTTTTGGACAAGAAATCCGATATAAAAATATATCGCCTTATTATATGTCATACGGAATATTCTGTTTGGCAATTATTCACTGAATCCCATATATCTTATATAATATTTCACTGTATATTATATACACATATAAAGTATTATGTAGTGTATAATGTAGTGTATATTTTTGATTAATGTTGGTAAATATGATAAATATTTGTTGTGATGTTTATCGCTCGCAAGTATGGTGTGATATAAAACACATTATACAACCATTCAAACCGAGTTATTATGTTATAAATTATTGATATAATAAATATACTGTATATTTATCTACAGTGTATATAAATCTATGGCTTACAGTATAAATCAGTGGTAAAAATGTTTTTGTTGTGTTTCGCAAATGATTTTTGGCGAAACAATTTTGTTGTTAAAAATATATATTAATTCACTTCAGATATAAAGTGGCGTTAAATATGAGAGCCAGTAGTGTATGGCGTTTGTCACCGTGTATTATGATGATGTTCATTAATTTTCATCACGATCAAGTGTGTGTAGCTGTTTGAATTCAGTATTCCCAACAAAGTAGCATGGTGATTATTTATATTGCATTTTAAACTTGTTATAAAAATAATGAATAATTTTAATTAAATAATTATATATTATAAATAATTTGCAATATATGATATTTTGTTTATGGTAACTTAATTTATTCATTATAAAGCTACCCATTAAAACAACTAAATGTATAAATTCATTTTTAAATTTAGCATTATTTAATTTACTGTACATAATATACAGTAGTCTATAATACCGCTATCGATTAATACTATCATTATATGTAAATCTAGGCTTAAATCGTGATTAGACTGTATTAAAAGTGGAGTGAATTACTGTTAATTGTATGATTAGACGTCTAGTCTATTACGTGAACATCATTAGTGAGATTTAGCAGTAAAAACATTATTACAATTGTTATAATACTTATGTAAAAAACAAACACAATGTATAAAAACATTGAAATTCATTTAATATTCATTAGCCGAGAGAGAGAGAGAGAGAGAGA